ATCATTGCTCTTACGCTCTACTAATACCCATCCTTTAATGTATATGAAGTTTAACAGAAACATGTACACAACAAAGATTTGAATATGTAAGCGGCCCCTCACCTTGATAAAAAAAGACACAGCATTTCTGTTATCATAAAGGGCAAACGGGTCAATACTCTAAATACCCTGCTTCACGGCTGAAACTGAGGCTGCAGAGAAAGGATGAAGGTGGCAAAGTCGCTGTAAGGACATCCTAAAGTGGCTGATGGAGGCAAAATACAAAATGGATGGCTCCAACATTGGCTTTGCTGAAAAATGAACCAGTATCAATCTTTCCTTGCCATTAGGATGTAGGCAGGTTATTCTACTGTGTGAATATTTAATGATCTATAATTAGTTTTAAAGAATTAAAGAATTGGACAGGTCAGTAATGGCACAAAAGTGGTTTGGCTGTGTTAGCCTGTTTGTGGCTATAAAGACTAATTGGGCAGGATTACAAAGTATGAAAAAACGTGCATAGCACAAAGACAAAAAGGGAAAAAATGATGTCCCTGTTCATAGTGCAAAGAGGCTTTGTAACACATGGCAGCAAAATGTAGCACTGGTACAACAAGATCTCCTATTACAATACAGGATTTATGTTCATAAAGAAGATCTATTTTGTATACAGAATGTAAAACAATACTGTGTTTTATGATACTGTAGCTATTCTCAAAACCACTTTTTGTTAGCAAGTAATTTATTTTATTTTTAAAGGACAGATGCCCTCCCAAAGTAGTGCTCTGTGTGCAGGTCGTATGCTTGTACTAACTGTATAGGGAGAAATGTAGGGAGAAATGTACTTAGGGATGAAGATCAAGGTGATAACATAAGGCCTCTTAAAATGTATCTGCTGGAGGACATTTGATCTTTGCAAAAGCCCAATTAGTTATGTTCACCTTTTCCTCTCTTCTATCACAACTGCCATACAGTGAGACATCCTCTGCCCCCTTTTCTTTGCCAGCTACGTCACCCCTGGCCCTTCCTAATGCAAGTTGTCGACACAAACAGAAAGGGACTTTTCCAAAAGGTGATACGACGTGCCCTCGGCAGCTTGCCCAGGAAGGTCGAGCTGCAAAGTGACGCAGACAGCAAGGTCACTGTCAATGGGAGCCGTTTGTAGATCAGTCCTCATGCCCCAGACAGCCTCTTCCTGGTTACTATATCCCTAAAGGGCTACACTGCCACCAGCAGTCACTTAGCACATCACATCTTCAACAGACACAGATCCTTTGTCTTCCTTTTCCTTATCTCTTTTGCCAACATTTGTAAAGAGGAAACTGTGGCTACTTTTTTAAATTTCAGTTTAGGTTACATTCAGTGATATTGTTTTTGCTGCCTCAAATGATGTAATGCACATGTGCACAGTGAAACACAGACATGCCCTTATTATCAAACATTCAATGAAGACAGTTTTCTTAATACACTTGGCCAATCATTTGTACTAAAAACGTCAATAATAGGAATATAGTGAGCATATAGGTCGTCATGTTTTTCCATAGGTGTCGCTCCAAATGCTTCTTTTAAAAAATCAGATATTTTTGTGAGATAATCAATTATAATATTTTTCTCCTGTGAAGCATACTCTACTAAAATATAATTCTTTCCCCCTCCTTAGCGGCTGTCAACCATGATGAGTAAGCATATTTCATAAATGACCCAGCTGTTGAAGCATATTGTGTTTCTCCTCATCAGGGATTCAAAGGGCTGATCAGCCACATCCGTTCACAGCTTGGTCTCCAGTTGACCAAACTCCCTTTTAAAGCCGGGTTCTTCTGTTTGTCTCAGCCAGCTGGTGTATATGCTAGATGTGTGTCCCTTGATAGCTAGCATGACTATGTTATAGTGTTATGACAGCAACTATCAAACATTTCTTATCCCTTAAACTGAATGTATGTGTGCATTTAAATGTAAGAAATGTATTCCTCGTAATAATATTATCCATACTATTGAAAAATAACATTTTAATGGGATAATTACCTTATAAATTAAGTTTAAATGAAACAATGAAAGTATTATATTAACAAACAAGATAAACTTATTCTATGAGACACTTTTATTGACAAAGTTAGAATCTGATATTTACAAAGTACATAGTCACAACTGTATCCAAAAGGTCATTGAGGAAAAAAATTGTAAATTTGAAACCCAGTGTTTCAGTCTAGGATCATTGATTTTTTTCTGGACAGGCTAAAAATACGTTGTTCAGCTTCTGGGTACAGTTCTTGTTTTTGACAGGTCTCTTCATAAATCTATCCTCTGAGAAGAAACTAAGTAACAAAAAAACCGTAGCGTTTTACAAATTGAACAGAAACGATTTGTGTAAGGCTCTGCAAAGATGCCACTGCATGCAAACAATCCGTGACACTCTGGAACAAATTCAATCTAATGTCCAGCTCAGTTTCAAATTAACAGCTTAAAATATATATTAAACTTAAAATATGTTTAACCTCTGCCATTTTTTGTGCATATGTCAATTATTTTGATATCAATAGTTAGCCAAAGGTAACATGTCATGGAATTCAACATTTGCAAATTCAGTTTCCATTTACAATTACAGACAATGCAATACCTTTCCTACACATTGTTTTATTTTATACGTTGTCATTTTGTAAAAGTAGTTCACTCGTGATAATGTATGGCATCTTTAAATAAGCTTTGCCTGTTCTTTATTTTAATGACATGTTGCTGATACTTATCAAGAAGGCACATGATTGCAAATATTCACAATACAAAGTGATGTGCCAGATTATGCAGTAATACATAAAAAGCAGCCTCTTTGCCATCGAAGGTGTTTCCTATGATGTTTGCCCCATGTGAACATGGTGTTAATGCATTGAATAATGATTAGGTAGTAAAGAGAAGTCCTTCCCACTGCTCCGTCCATTCTGTGATTCAGTGGATGCATTTTATCACTGAAAATGGAGGGCCTTTTGTTTCACTCCTTCGCTAACATCAGAAATGGCTGAAAAAGAGATTGCATACTGTATACCCGTTTACGCCCAGAGAGAGAAGGGGATTATACGCACACAGAGAGACACTCACCTGAGCATACACTGTATGTATGCACACATTACATATCCTATCTGCTTATACACAGACGTATACAAGCACAGCCACACTAACGCACATACACAGTGCCTGGACCAAATCATTTACCAAATCCAAAGGGCTGAAAGAGGCAGATCCAGACACAGCATTGCTAATTCAGAGTTAAAGGAAATACAAGGAAGAGCCAAGTCGGTCTTAGTGCTCTCCTTTAACCATGCTAGTCCATATCAGAGGCAATGCGTCAGCCCTGCCATGGTTAACACTCAATAAAACATCAAAAGGGATGAAGCACAGAGCTCTGGACAAATACACACCCACGCAGATACCAGATACACACAAAAACTCTCTCGCCCTCCAACACGCTCTCTTACACACGTACACACGCATGTTTGACGTATACGTAGTATAGATATAGCTCATAAGACTAAATGAATACAGCAGGCACAGCAGATAACACGTTTGTATCTCTTTCAATAGGAAGCAATTACACTAGCCCTCTTGCATGCTAAATGTGACATCAATAGACTGTTTGTGCGAGAAGCTTCTTGCAATCAAGCTATATATTCAGAAGAACAAATGGCCATTTGAGCCAACAGTCAACAGCAGACACACAAGAGCTGTCATCAACTTTCCATCAGGCTCCACTTCCCCCCAGTGGATGTTTTGCAAGAGTAGAGACACTTCTTTTGAAAATGTTATATCCAGGGGCAAAGGCTTTCAATGGTCACTGTGCTGCATGTTACATGAGGAGGTGGCATTATAAGCATGAGGCCAGGCCAAAGTTGAGCATTGACAGCTTAGACAGGCAATTGACGGTTCAGCTCTTTTAAATATTTCAGGGAACCAACAGGATGCTCATGCAATCATAAATATTTCAACCGTTGCTTTACAAAAGGAGGTAGCCTTGCAGTCATCTGGTATTGATCAAGAGGGCAGCAGATTCACTCTTCCCAACACACAAAAAAGAACACAAAAATGATACCTTGATCATTCTGTCTTCGTCTGAACACTTTCTCCTGTCTTACATTCCATCAGAAAGGGAACTTGGCAAACAACAGCATTTACAAATGATCAATAAACATAAGCAAGAAAAGCAGAGATAAAGAGAAAGAGATGCATTGCTGTACCACAATCACACAGACACACTTACTGGAACATAGGGTGAAGGTATAATGTAGGGTGTTTGAGATAGTGTGATGCCGGACACAATCGGCTCTCTGTGAGTAGAGATAAAGGAGCAGCCTTTAAAATGCAGAAAGACACTCACCATTATGAATAAAATGTGGCTCCTGTATGGAAGTAATTCCCTGAGCTCAGAGATACTGGCTGTTGCAAAGACGAGGACAAACATCCACCGCAATTATGCCCCTTCCACTAGCTGCCTCCCCTGGTGATAACCGCTGTGTAGCAAGGAAGCAAAGAGATGGATTGCTTTGCAGACAGACATCTCCCCTCTCAGCAAACACACATGCATGAGTATGCTGATACACATAGAAACATTATTTTCTGCATATGGAAGTAGCCTTTCAAAAAAAAGAACATACAAATTCTTATTAATGTTCATGTTGTCCATAAGCCCTGAAACTTGTTATTGTATAATTCAGATATTTATCCCAACTTTTTATGAAACTGGATAGATACAGTCAAGATTCATGCACCTTTTTCATCTACCTCTCTCTCTCTTTCCCACTCAACTGTATCTTTCAGATCTCCAATCTGCCCTTTTCTTAAAAAACCTGAAGGGTGCTATAATTATACAAGAGCTCGTGGATGTGCCCTTACCTTGAAATACCATCCAGAACCTTATAGTCCACAAGATAAGCTGTCTGAAGCTCGGTGCTGCTCCACAACAAAGATAAAAGGGCACAAATCCTCCAAGTCTCTCAGAATCAGAACCCAATTCAAAGCCTTTCTGGATTAGAACTTACTTTTTTGAACAGGATGTCCTTCATTGATTCTGCAAATAATCCGTTCCACTTTACCTCCCAGGTTCAGAAGATATTCTTATGGGTTGATTTCCCCTGATATTCCACCTGGTCACGGTGAAATAATGATATGTATTCTTCTGGAAAATGCGTGTGCGAGAGAGAAAGAGGCACTGTGGGATCTCTTCTGGTGCGCACTACCAGCTCCACTGCAAGTGAATCCAGCCGGTATTCACAGATCTCCTGCTGCCTTCAGGAATGAAATTCAGCATCCGCTGTTCATCCCCACAACAAGGGGAGGGTGTCCCCCCCGGACGGAAACTTTCAGACACCTCTCCCAAAGCTCTAAGAGTTGAAACTCGATGCCACAGAGACCTGATTATGGGTTATTTTCCTCGATATCCTCCTTCAGTGGATTTCCCCCCTTTTTTTCTTCTCCAATTTGCCAGTTAGGTAGCTCTCTCCTCTTCAGAATACGGACTCACAGAATGGATGCTGAGAAAGCAGCGGAATGAGGCGAGCCGCTTGTTCTCTCGCTCTGTCTCTCTCGCTCTGTCTCTCTCTCTCTCTCTCTCACCCTCCCTCGTACATGCCCCCTCCCTGCTTCTCACTGCACCTCCCCTCCCTTTCGTTTTCCCTCTCCTCCTCTCCTTCCCTCTGATACACACACACGCACACACACATACAGATATGAACATCTCTAGCTCATGCTATTGACAATTGCTGCCTTGCGTTTGCTAGCCATCTCAGACAGAAGGGTTCAGCGCCCATACTCCTCAGAGAAACAGACAATCCTATGATAAATATGTCAAATTAAATAGTTATGAAGAAAAGGAGCAGCAGCATGGAAAGGAGCATGGGGCCAAGAGGCAATCTAATCTCCTTTCTTTATTCTCATTCCCTTATTACAATTTATTTGGAGTGAACACTGTTTTGCATCTCTGTTTTGCCGTAACTTTTGTGTCAAGTGGAGTTGGTTCAGTAGTTAATGGTTGCCAACTGTCAAGAGTGAGTGAAGAGGAAGACGAAAATAGCAAACAAGAGAGGGGTTCACTGCATAGAAACCAGGACGCTACATGTGCAGTAGCAGCCGCATAATTAAACAATTAGCCAGTAGCCACCTAAACAAATTGCCAGAATTTCTGTTATCCTTGTGTGTACATACACAGTGATTACTAGCCCAGAGGTATAGCACAACAACAAACAACGTGAAGAACAATTAGAACAAAATACAATTCTGAAATGTTTCTGAGAAAGCCTCCCACACATACAGTATCTCACATCCCCACATGTATTTACTGAGGGACTGTTTATGGCATATTCAATTTGTCATGTCCTCAGCGCTGAATGACAACAATACATGCCGTTTGCACACTGCTATGAATACCTAACATTACTAAAGCCAATTATATTGCTAAGCCTGGACTTCATGGTCCAACAAAGGTTGCTTGATTACTTGTATCTGTAACTCCTTACACATGCAGCATGTGCACAATTTAACCTGTCAGTCATTTATGCAACATGGACAACTATAAGAGGACTTGCAGAGTATGTTAACAGCATATAGGTTCCATTTTCACTTGGTCTTGATAAGAGGATGCTGACCTTGATAATATCGAGGTAAGCTCTCATCTTATCAACACCTTGTCACCAAAGCTCTGAGCCAAATGCCGAAGTGCCTTTGGCAGGGTCACTTGCAGCCCGTTTTCCATCCATCATTTACGTCTCCTCTAGGGAGTCATGTCAACAATGTCATCCCGTTTATTCTAAAGAAATAAGATGATGAGTTTTGGAATTATCCATATAACACTAGGATGTTGTCCAGGAAGTCCATTATGTCTCTTTTACCATTTGCCTTTACTCGGAGAAAACCATCTAAAGGACAAAGTAGAGCAATGGCATACAACCTGCATCTTCACTGGTTGCCACTAGGGGCTGTACAGGCTTGACTGATGACAACAAATCAATCAATCAATGGACAACCGCCATAGCTTTTGAAAAAGGTATACATGTCTACAAGATACCTTAAAATGGTACTATTGATTGACAGTTATCCTATAAACCGATTAAAATGTGTGTCAAGCATTATTGTGGGATTTGCCAGTTTGACAGTTATTTTGTGAAATTGGCCAGTTTCTGAGAAAGAAAGAAAAAGGTAGCTTACCTAAATATCACTTCTATTGAATGAAACAGGCAGCATATGTATTTGTGTCTATAACTTGAACTGGTTATTCTTGAAGTCATTGAGAATTGAAAAATATTAAAACCTTTTAGTAAAAAGTATTTATTTGTGAAAGTTAAGCATGAACAATTATTACGCTTGATCTCCCTGGGTGTTTACAGTAATCCAATTCTAGTGATCCAATTTAAATGATGCAATTTATTTCAACACGAAATCATAGATAATGTGCAGCTTTTGTAGAGCACTCAAATCTGTTAAAAAATATTTGATAAACAAAATATCAAACTATAATTTGTATGTCAACACCGAAGTATGTTGCCTGGTTGAGAGGAGGGCACAGAGGTGATTTAGAAATACATATTGAAGTCTTACCCACAGGGGACTTTCATGTCACTATTAATTTCCTTTCCAAGCATACATGTTTCTATTATGAGTCCAATGACATAACAAGACATTTGATTTACTGTCATGACTGACAGCGGATGGCCGAAATCAAATGGCATGGGTAATCGGCTGACATTTCCTAACTGAAGAGTGATATGGTGAGCGACAATTTTGACGAAGTGAAGTACCATTGTCTTATGTCAGGTCCACACACGCCTATAAATGTGAAAATAAAATACCTTTCCGTGTTGATTGTTTTCCATCAACATTCAAAGTCATCAGAGCTGTGGAACAGATTACTCAGATGCTTGTGACAAGTCCAAATTAATATTCCACCCTTAACTGACATGGAAAAGTTTGCCAAAAAAAGGCTGGAAGTGTAAAGACAGAAGAACAGCAAAATGGGTCTTCTGCATTATCTCCATTACATGAAGGCACGACAGAAAACATCTCAACCACGTCCTCCCACGTTGGACAATATAGGATAGCATTTTCAGATGGATCCAAAAAACTAAAATCAATGAACAAAATAAATACGGGTAATCTTTTTACTGCTCTTTGTATGTCACCTGCCTCCAATGTGTATCAGTGTTTACTATGAAAAGCAAGTGTATATACTAAAATATCCCTCTCTGTATCTCTTACTCTCACTTTCTCGCCCTATGTGGTACAGCTTGCAGATAAGCCTGGGTAAGCCCTCTGGCTGAGGCGCCAACACGGACCTTCTTGCATCTCATTATCGATGGAGCAGTTTCCAACCAACTGTCCAAAGTCCAAGCCCATGTTCAACAACAGCCAGCAACTACAACTTTGCTTGTTCCACTGCCACTTCAACCTGGTTTGCAAACTTCTTACTAATAGTTGATCATAAAAAATGATTGATGCATCAATTTGTTTCTGTTTGTTTCCTTTAACATCAATCGTAACTTATATATTGAAATGATAGGTATTTGATCCAAAACCACAATATCTCTTTAGATTAACCTGACCTTAACAATGGGTTTTAGTTACCTAAACTCAAAAGTACCTGAACCATATTAAAGCTGCGATGCAATTTTATTGTTTTGACCATTCATATTATCATCACTGAATGCAATCTAAGGGTTTGGCAGAACCATTCTGTGTGGCTTTAGGGTTTCCCACCCGATGTTAGAAAAATTGATGAAGAGCTCAGCCTTACATATTTTCTAATTGTTTGCATATTTTGGAACCAAAACCCTTAAATATAAGAGAAACTAAATGTCATCAGAAAATAAAGCCATAACAGCTACTTGAAAATACTAAATGCTCACATTCAGTTAAGCCTAAACAGTATTAGTGTGTTGTTTTTTTTGGACAATGGATTGGGAGTAATGCAGAACAAAAAGTAACCAACAATATTTTAAATGACAGCCCATTAAAACATTTTTGGAGGAACAATGATTTAAAAGTTGTGAGACACCCTTTCCCTTGGAGTGAATGCAGTTTCCTGATGGCAGCCAGCAAGGTCCTGAGTTTCCTGAGTGTTGAGGTCATGGTTTCTTCATCTTTTTTTAAAAACAAAAAAGAGAAAATCATTTACGTGTTTACTTATATGTTGAACATCATTCTCCATATATAACAAGATAACACCACCACTTTGTATCTCTAACTCGAATTTAATTTGTACTTTTGGAATATTGTTAATTAAAATTAGTATTTCGATTGTGTTAACTATTTTGCTCACCATTGCTAATCTCACCAGAAACTGTTGTCTGCAACGTTGTCAGAAATTGAGTTGTAAGACATTTTGACAGCCTTTCTCTGTAGAAATTATCACGTCCAGTTTATATCGTCTCCTTCCTTCAATTATAAAATAAACAAAGCCGAATTCCTTCTCCACACATTGGGCATGTTGATACATCTCATTGAGGTAGCCACCGAATTACCGTTAATCAACCTACAGTAAATTGACGTTAACTGTTTGCATCAACGTTAGCTGGTTATAGCTAAAGCCTACCCTTAAACAGCAAAGCAAACTGGGTGAAAAATCCATACGAACCACGCCATTATCCAACATAGTTTGTTGTGAACTTTACAGCCACAACCAACCGCAATAAACCTCATAACATGACATATTATTGACCGTGTTTAGGCCAGTTTAACCAGCTATTCCTCTGTAACGCCAACAGTAATTCTGTCAATAAAAGCCAGCATCACTGACAGTCAGATGCGCTTAATTTAATTTGGACAAGACTTAATTAGCAACTAAATAACTTACTTTTGATGACTGCTCCATCCAATTCTGCTCCTTCACAGCTCAGAGTCATATTTTAAAAGTAAAGTTAGTAAGTAAACAAGTGCTTTAGTTGTCCAGTCCATCCTGCGACAACCAGTTTAAGATAACTCCTCCGGACATTCTGTGCGTTTTATAGACCCAATCCCAAACCACCTACACCTACACACTACCCCGCCGTTTGCGCGTTCGCGCGGAGGGTCCGCCACACATTAAGTGCTGTTCCGAGTGGGTTATCAAGCCTTGTATATTCAATGTGCTAGCAGCAAGAGGCATAATTAGTTGGCCTTTCAACAGGATGAGTGGATTGTTTTCTTGGTGATTACCTAATCCATAATAACATGGGGTCCAGAACACATGGGACAAGTTAAATGGGTTTTTTCTTCTAAAGTTCTCAAAATGTAACTCAAAAGCTTT